CACACACACACAATGCGCGCGCACGCGCGCACACACACACACACGAATTGCAACCCAGGGGCCCAGGCTGTAGTGGGTCTCAGAGAAGTGACTGTTAGAAACTAACTAGGAATCTGGTCCAGAGCTGATGAGAAAAGATATTCGTGAAGACTTTCTTATTATTCTTCCTCCCGAGCCTGGTTTTTCTCTCCCCTTGTCTTATCCTTCCTGTGTTGCTCTACAGTACCCTGCCTTCTGTGAACTCAGTTCCCTGTTGCCGCTCCCTTGGCCATGTCCCATAATCTGCCTTAAGATAGAAGGATTCATGTAATCGCTTCCCCGCTAGTCTGAACAGGCCAGGCTGCCTTGAGCTGCCACGAGGCCGGGGCCGGTGCGAGCGCCGAGACTGGATAATTCGCCTGTGTAGCTTAGGCCATGTAGGATGGACAGAGGAGAATAACTCACTGGTGTGTCTTACTGCATGCAGTACACGAATTCTGTTTCTTAACTGGGTCATTGCAGGCTGGGCTGTAGCTCAGTGGTACAGATTTGCTCAGCATGCCCTGGGTTCCATCCTCAGTACTACAAAAATGTAGCCACATGAGTTCGAGGCCAGCCTGGTCTACAAGAGCTAGTTCCAGGACAGGCTCCAAAGCTACAGAGAAACCCTGTCTTGAAAAACCAAAAAAAAAAAAATGTAGCCACGAAGAAGGGAGGGGGAGAAAGGGAACCTGAGAAGGGAGGGAGGAGAGGCAAGGCCAGTCACCAAGTGTGTATTCACACCCAGCCCTGGCCCAGATGAGCCAAGTCATCCGCAAGCGTGCAGTTTCTTTTTCTCCATCGTCCACGCCCAAACTTCCCCGAAGGGCTGGCTGCCATTGCGTCCTTTAGGCTTCCTGGCCCTCTAGGGACCACTTGGGGCATTTCCCAGAGGAAATGCAAAAAGATGGGAGTGCCTTAGCAAGAGAGAGAGTGTATTCCCTACTCTCTCTCTCTCTCTCTCTCTCTCTCTCTCTCTCTCTCTCTCTCCATGCTCTGGTGTGTTCACCACCAATCGCTGTGTGTCCACCCTCCCTCCACCCTGTCGCATTGTAACTGCTGTCTGTTAGCCCTTATCCACAGTTTAGGCTCTTCCTGCTTCCAGAAACACCATTCCTGCTTCTAATGCCTCGCTGCTGTTGCTAGTGTCTGTGCCCCTCAGCATGCTGGCCGGTCTCTTTTGTCCCTGTCCCTGACTCTGTAATAACTCCCTTTCTATGCAGTCCCTGGACCATCTGAGATAGGTTTCCGGCTGGGCTCTAACAAATATTTTTTAATTATTATTGTGTTATGAGAGAGAGTGAGAGGAGAGAATGTCAGGGAACTCTGGGTCAGTTCTCTCTTTCCATCTTTAGTGGTGCTGGGGACTGAACTCAGGTTGTGACACTTACCCTTCACCCACTGGGCCATCTTGACCACAAATACATAATTCTTGACAGGGATATAGCACTCAGAGGAGGTGCTGGGGCTGATCCAACAATAAGGTTTGGGGGAAGCTAAGAAATAACCCTGTCCAAATCTTCCATTTGGTGAAAGAGGAATTCTCCAGAACCTGAAACACAATAGATGCTTCAGAAGAATATACAGATAGATTATGGATATTGATATAGAGAGAGAGAGAGAGAGAGAGAGAGAGAGAGAGAGAGAGAGAGAGAGAGATAGAGAGATAGAGAGATAGAGATAGAGAGATATAATATATTTTGTTGAAAACAAGGAGCTAGAAAGAGAAGTGGTCAGAAGAGGAGTCTGGGGAAGTGGGGAGTAAGAAACTTGTCCCTGAGTCCTGAGGGTGCCTACAAGTTGGCTCTGTTAGCTTGGGGTGGGGCTTGCAGAGCATTTAAGGGAAGGGTGTGGTGATGAGAGCTGTAGGGGCAGTGTAGCCCCAAAAGGGTTTCCTACTGCCCCCCTACCCAGATGGAGAACCTTTCCTGGCAGATGTGTCCTTGGAAGAGAAGCTAACAGAAAAACAGTCTTCATGGGCTCTCCCTCCGCGGGATTGGAACTCCCGTGGTCCTGGTAAAGATGCTTGAGGAATGAGGGCATTCCTGGCTCTTCCCCAGATGGTAGCCACTCTCTCCCCCTCACTCCAAGATTTTGCAGAGAGCTATCTCTGTCTACAGTTCCTGGCATCACCCCAGTGCACTCCGGGCTTTGGCTTAGTGGAGGAGGCTGTGGGTTTCCAGCCACAGCCTACTTTGGTGCTGTAGGCTTCCGCTACCACCCGAGAGACCTGGTCTTTGATTCCCACATCCTCAGCCTCCCCAGGGGTGCTGTACCTCCTGCGGTAGCATCCTGTGTACCTCACCCCTGGGAGAAGCTGCAGAGACTGACAGGTTGCAACGTTCCCCTCCCCCTCTCTCTGCTCACATCTGCATTTCTGAATCTCTCTCTTCCATGCTTATGCTCCGGGGGTGACTTCCTCTGGGCTGCAACCATTACTGTCCTCACTGTTCTCTTCTTGGAGTTCCTGTCTCTTCTTTCTCCTCTTTCCCCTCTCTAGATGCCACTGAGATATAGTTCTTTCTACACTGTAAACAAGCAGCCTGGCTTCCTGCAGGCCAGCGGGTCTTCCAAAGCTTTGATGTGCGGCAAAGCTGCAGAGGATGGGCTGGATGCAGAGGCACTGGCTGCAGAGTAGGAGAGACACAGTGGACAAAGGACAGTAGGCAGATTTTCCGGAAACAAAGCACAGAGGCCTCGAGGGAAGGAGAAAGGACTCAAAGAGGTCATTAAAGCAACAGCCACCCGTCCCAGCATCCACCAACACACAAAGCACACAGGGCCTGTCAGGAATGATAGAGGAGAGGCAAAGACATGAAGGGATTCTGGGAGGCAAGAAGCTTGCAGGGGACACAAAAGATGCAGAGAGGGCTCACACAGGGACATGATGAAAATGGCAATGCCTACCACACACCTTTCAGGATGCTTGAGGTTCCTGCTACCCTCACAGGGCCCCCAGAGACGGGAGAGGAGGGCACGGTCCCGGCACAGCTCCACCACAGCGACAGTCTGTGGTCCCACAGACACTTTTATCTTCCCCTCACGGCCCCCAGTCAGCCCACTCTAGCCCAGTCGTGGGAAGTGGCCCCTACCACATAACCCTTCAACTCTGCCGGGCTTCATACACACTTCCTAGAGATGCGACCCTCTAAGCGACCCTTGTGGTTCAGCGGCTGCAACCTCTGTCACCCTCTCCTTTGCCTCAGATGCCCACATGATGGAGGGTGGATTGGGGTTCTGCACCCCTTCCTTCCCTTCTCTCTGAAAGCACTAAACAGAGCTGTAAACAGCATGCAGCATTCCCCCTCCCGACGCCCACATCCTCCCCACACTGGTCTTATTTCTCATCTCCATCCAAGTTATTCAATCCAATGGGCATTTACTAAGCGTCAGGTTGGGTGCCAGACCTGACCACCCAATTCCAAGCGCCGCCACTTCTCCCCTGTGGCCAAGAGCAAGGCCTGAGGCCACCTCAAGTCTCTGTGGAGAACTGGGAGATGGTGGGGGAGAATTTGCCTTCAGAGGCAGCCCTCTTCTGAGAGTGCCTAGGATTGAAAAGGGAAAGTGGTTCCTGCCTTTCTAGCTCTTCAGGGGCCCTCTGTCAGCAATGCAAGGCAGCCATTTTGTATCAACCTACAGAATCAAAGGCAGCACCAGAAATTCTAAGAACAAAAAATAACAGCAGTCTTCTCTCATCAGGCTCTTGAGCCTTGCTTGCCAAAAAAATAAAATAAAATAAACCAAAAACAGAAACAGAAACAAGCAAACAAACAAAAAACACTGTGCCCTTCAAGATCAGGACATTTGGGAAGTGCTATGTACTCAGTAAAGTCTTTGAATTATCAAAATGGAACTTTTCCATTTTGAAGGATCAGACTGAACAAATGGAACTTTTCCATTTTGAAGGATCAGACTGAACCTTAGGGGACCTCTCTGGGAATAACTCTATGAACTGAAGGATTTTCTGGGGCACAGCGTGACTTTAAGACTAAGAGAAGAGAAAGGTCTGAAGGTGCGGAGACAGGGCTAGAGTTGGGTAGTGCACCCCTCCTTGAGAAATAGAGCCTGGCTTCATGCCCACTTCCCACCAAGAGCACCAGGGTCGGCATCTAATCAGCTGTCCTGACAACTTGTGTACAGAAAGAAGCATCCATTTGCCGCGCTCCAGAGCAAGAGTCCAGCTTTAATACTTTCTGAGGATCTCCCTTCCTCCCTTCCTAACTCAAGCTAACGTCAACAGAGTTCCCCTTAGACACTTCAAAGATTCTAAATATCAATCCAGGCTCAGTGGCATGTGCCTTGGTCCCAGCTACTGGGGAGGCCGAGGCAAAAGCAACACCAGAGCCCAGGCAACAGAGTGAGACCTAAAAACAAAATACAAACCAAACTCCTAAAACTTCACAGAGAAGGACAAACGTTAAAGAGCTCACACAATCGCAAAAGAGTTGGAAGAGGCTGCAGAGATCGCATGGTTTAAATTGTTCTTGAAGGTCTGACCCTTGGCGAAGATTCCTAGGGCAGAATTTAGAAAAATTGCACAGGGTCCTGGTTTTCTCTCCCTCTTTTCCTTTTTTATGCCTCTTCCGTACTCAATAGCTGTCCATGCTTTCTAGCCTTCCCTTCTCTCCGTAACTGTTTCTGCCTTTTCTCTCTTCCCAGCCTCGCCTCTCCACCATGACCCCCGGCCAGCTGCCTTCCCTTGTCTCTCTCTGCCATCGCCTTTCTGATCTTGCATTCTAGTCAGGGTGCTTCCCTGAGCGCCTGCTGCTCTGAGCTCTGTGTTCCACCCGGGTGGGTGGGCAAGGATGACCGTGGCTTACTGCTTAACCTCTCGAAGCTCGTGATTCCAGTGGGAGATCATGGTTCCTGACCTGTTCTGAGAGAAACACAGCTAGGCACAGAGAGCCGCATCCAGAACATTCCGGCTCCTCTGCTGCCACCTTTACCGCCCCTTCCAGAATGAAGTCCAGCGCTGCTCTTACCTCTGGCCAGCCCTTCTAGGCTCAGCTTCTGGCACAGGTGTGTCTGTGTGAGGAGGCGAGGCTTTACCAGCAGGTGCTCTGAGAAAGAGGGTTTTGCTATGTCTTCACAGATGTCCGTAAGTGAAGAAACAGGAAGCCTGGTAGTGAGGCTCCGCTGCACGCTAGACGTAGGCCAGCCCTCTGGGGTCCCTCCCTTCCACCCCAGCTGTTGGGGAAATTGACAAGTTAAAACGACCAAAGTCATTGGAAACAGAGAAACAGAATTGGGCCAGAGCCTGGAATGACACTGTTGTCTGTTTGGGGGCCCAGAAACAGGCCGACACAATCAGATTCAGCCAGCACGAGGCAGGGCTTAGGGCCCACATAGCTGTAACCCCAGAACTGGGGAGATTTAGCAGAAGAATCACAAAGTCAAGGCCAGACTGGGTTACTTAGTAATACCATGTAAGAAAAAGAAAAGTTAGCAAAAAATTAAATCAGTGGAAAATTTAGATGAGATTATATATTGCCCAACAAACCCACTGAGTCAGCTGTTAAGAGATGATGAAGAGCCTGGAGAGAAACAGCCAGGGCTCCACAGCGGCTCACGCAGTACTTGTCTGGTTTTTACTCCCTCCCTTCCTGGGGACTGAGTAGGCAGCACGCTGCCGAGACGCAAACAGCATGAGAATTGTATGTGTCTCCTCTATGGAAAAGTATGGCTAAGCCATTTAGACTGCACGGCCTCTCTGACAGGAAGAGCGGGGTCACTGTGTTTGGACAGGTGGGCAAGTACAACCCTTCTTCCTTTAGAGACAACTTGAAAGCAGCTGTGGCAATGCCACAAAAGGATTCTTGTTCCACACCTCTGTGTAGTGTGGCCTCTTCCAGAGCTGTGAACAGTAGCGGCTATGTATCTGGTCCACTGTGGCAGAGAAGGCCTGGGTTGAAATATGGATGCCTGAGGGGATCAGAGTAACCATGAACCACACTGTGGATGTCTGAGAGGACCAGAGTGACCATGGACCACACTGTGGATGTCTGAGAGGACCAGAGTGGCCATGGACCACACTGTGGATGCATGAGAGGACCAGAGTAACCATGGACCACACTGTGGATGCCTGAGGGAACCAGAGTGACCATGGACCACACACACTGTGATGTCTGAGAGGACCAGAGTGACCACGGATCACACTGTGGATGTCTGAGAGAACCATGGACCATACTGTGGATGCCTAAGAGGACCATGGACCACACTGTGGATGCCTGAGAGGACCAGAGTGGCCATGGACCACACTGTGGATGCCTGAGAGGACCAGAGTGACCATGGACCACACTGTGGATGCCTGAGAGGACCATGAACCACACTGTGGATGCCTGAGAGGACCATGGACCACACTGGGATTCCTGAGGGAACCAGAGTCACCATGGACCACACTGTGGATGCCTGAGGGAACCAGAGTTACCATGGACCACACTGGGATGCCTGAGGGAACCAGAATTACCATGGACCACACTGTGGATGCCTGAGGGAACCAGAGTTACCATGGACCACACTGTGGATGCCTGAGGGAACCAGAGTTACCATGGATCACACTGTGGATGCCTGAGGGAACCAGAATGACCATGGACCACACTGTTGCTAACACTGTTACACCTAGCCTGTTGTGCATAAGGATGAAGAAGAGAGACAACACTTATGGGTTCCAAAAATTTTATTAAATCACCACCTAAGTGATCAATCAGGGCTGCAAGACTAGGACTCAAGAACCTTGTTTCTCTTGACAACCTCAAACAGAGGCAGAAGTGGGCTTCATAAGCACAAAATTCACAACCATTTGTTGCCAAGTTGCAGTTACAATTTTCGACAATCAGGAATCAAAGATTAGGGACTTTCCTCACCTGTTCCATCATTGTCAACCAACACACAATGCAAGCCGTTCAGTCCAAGCAATCAGATTCATTCGTTCTTTCTGTGGTTAGGAATAGCCAAGTTTCTAGAGAACTCAAGATGCATAATGACTATCTGTGGTTTAGGGAAGAGGTTGGTCGGCCACTGGAAAGTTCTTAGTTCCCAGGGCCTGGGAACCTGAATTTTATTTCACCCTGCAGCTAAAATGGAGTTTGAAGTCAAATGGCCAAGTGCATTTGCCTGCTCCCTTCAAAATTTCACCTAACTCTTCTCTAGCCCAGCTCTCTTCTAAGTTCTGTGGGTAGATACCTGCCTTCCCAGTGAACATCTCTGCTTGCACATTTACCATAATGTGGTGGAGTAAGAATGGCTCCCATAGGCTCATATATTTTGAATGCTTAGTCACCAGGAAGTAGCACTATTTGAAAGGATTGTAAGGATTAAGAGATGTGGTCTTAGTTGGGTTTTAGTTGGCGCTTGCCATTGACTCCAGTACTCAGAGGCAGAGGCAGGAGGACTCTCTGTGAGTTCAAGCCTGGTCTACAGAGCTAGTTCCAAGGTTCCAAGACAGTCAGGGCTGTTACACAGAGAAAGCTTGTCTCAAAAAAATGAGAGAGAGAGAGAGAGAGAGAGAGAGAGAGAGAGAGAGAGAGAGAGAGAGAGAGAGCGAGCCTTGTTGGAGAAAATATATCACTGGGGGTGGACTTTGAGGTTTCAAAAGTACATGCCAGCCCCCCCCCTCTCTCTCTCCCTCACACACACACACACACACACACACACACACACACACACACTCTCTCTCTACAGATCAGGATGTAGCTCTCAGCTACTGCTCCAATGTCGTGCTTCCCACCATGATGAAAACGGACTAATCCTCTGAAACTGTAAGCAAGCCCCCAATTAAACAGTTCTTTAATAAGAATTGCCTTGGGCATGGTGCCTCTTCACAGCAATGGACCAGTGACTAAGACACAGACGTAGCAATTTCTACACCTCTCAGGCTAGTTCCAGATTAATTTAGCAGATGTCCCAGGTTAACCACTGAGCGAAGGCCTTGCCATCCAAGCTACTCAAACCAAACACATTGAAAGGGCTCTAACTTCCTCAGCATGGAACCCCTCTGTGTTTCTATTTTTTTTTAGATTTATTTATTTATTTAGTATCCAACATTCTGCCTCCATGCAGAATTCCTTCAGATTCCCTCCAGAAGAGGGAATCAGATTACATACAGATGGTGTTGAGCCATGGTGTGGGTGCTGGGAATTGAACTCAAGACTTCTGGAAGGGCTCTTAACCTTTGAGCCATCTCTCCAGCCCCTCGTGTATCTAGTGTATCTATTTATAAATCCTGTGACTTCACCTTCTAAATGTCTTCAAAAATCTCCCCAGGCCACCCTGCACCACCATCCCAGGCTTGGGTGCCACCGCCATCCTATGCAGTAGCTCCTGCCTCAGCCTCGATCTGTCCCGTTGGGGTCCAAGTGAGTTGCTGTTTCCCTGACCCAGATGTGGCCCCCTGACTGCATGACTTTGGAAAGCTGCGATTACAGATAAGACCTAGGAGGAAATGTCCTCTGGCACCAAACAAAGCCAGGGCAGGGAGTGCAGAAGGAAGAACTCATCTAAGGGGCAGAGATGCTGTTTCTTCAAGTTCTGCTTGCAATGTGGTCTCTGGTAGCTAGAGAAACAGCGCACAAACGAAGGTGGGAAAAGTAAAGTGCCCAGCTTTTTGCTTGTTTGTTTTTTTGAGACAAGGTTTCTCTGCATAGCCTTGGCTGTCCTGGAACGTGCCTTGTAGACCAGGCTGGCTTCCAACTCACAGAGATCCCTGCCTCTGCCTCCTGAGTGCTGGGATTAGAAGCATGTGCCACCATGCCCGGGAAAATTGTTCATTCTTGAAGTGAATCCAGAGTCTTGGGTCTCTGCCCACCGTGACCTTTCTCTCTAGGTTTGTTTGATACCCACAGCTGGACTGGCCATGGCGCTCTATCCCGCCTTCCTCCAGGTCATGTTCCACACAGCAGCCAGAGTGTTGACTATAAACGGTGCACATGTAGTCTGGCCACTCCCTACTCTAAAAATTTGGCTGGTTCTGGGCCTGAAGAGGTGGCTCAGTGGTTAAGAACACACTGGTTGTTCTTCCAGAGGACCCAGGTTTGATTCCCAGTACCCACCCGGTGGCTCACAACTGTCTGTAACTCCAGCTTCAGGGGATTGATCACTCCCATCTTCTCATCTCCTCAGGTACCAGGTACATACACGATGCACAGAGGTGTAGGCAAAATATCATCACACACACATTAAAAAGAGAAAAGGGGGCTATTTCAGAAAGATGGGCATGGAGTGGGGAGAATAAGATACAAAGTATAATAACGAATATGTTCGAAAACGCCATACTGAAACCCATCACTTTGCATGCTGACTTTAATAGAGTAAGGAACTGGCGAGATGGTTCAGCAGTTAAGAGTACTGGCTGCTAAAACAGATTAGTTCTTTAAAAATAATGATAATAAAAGAGAGATATTAGCCGGGCGGTGGTGGCGCACGCCTTTAATCCCAGCACATGGGAGGCAGAGGCAGGTGGATCTCTGTGAGTTTGAGACCATCCTGCTCTACAGAGCTAGTTCCAGGATAGGCTCCAAAACCACAGAGAAACCCTGTCTCGAAAAAAAAAAAAAAAGAGAGATATTGAAAGTGTAGTTAGGCTTGTAACACCCACAAGGAATATAGCGCTTTTACTCACAGGAACCATCGCAACTTCATCTGCAGACGACGTCCCCTGCTTCTTCTTGCTTCTTAACACGGTGTCCCCAAGGGTTGCATTTTAATAAAATTAAATCTTATTGTTTCATCAAAGACACTCTTCAGTAAAATATGGGCATGTTCATACATCGTGAGTGCCTGGCAGAGGAGGACCCGTGGTACGTCTTTACGCTAGGGCAGCAGTTTCGCACAGGGAGCTTCTGCAGCCTCGCTGGGATGCAACACAGGAACAGGCAATGGGGTCCTGTCACTTTTATGGAACCAGCGCATCCTTTAAGACCCTCTGGAAGGTCTCGGGGCCTCCTGGGGTCCACAGGCCACACTTACATATCGAGAATCACAAATCTAGGGAGCTGTCATTCACTCTTCAGACCTAGCTCTCTTTGTAGCTGCATCTTAATTCGGTTTTCTGCTTCTTAGTAATAGGCCCCTCAATTATTTTATCTTGTGTGTGTGTGTGTGTGTGTGTGTGTGTGTGTG